AAAAAAAAAAAAAAAAAAAAAAACAAGGTTTTAAAAGTGACAGTTATAGCCCTCGTCTTCAACTTTTAGTTAAAATCATCAATTTCTTTGATATATCCGTCAATTTTTGATATGGAATCATATACAAGTTTATATAGCCATATAGGAATGATAGAGGTAATTATCATGTCCTATTACTGAAGTCTGTTACATCCAAACTAACTTCAAAAGTTAAGATGGAGAGAGTCAAGGCCTCACTTCTAAGACCTTAGCACGTATTTCTGCAAACTATGCAAATCTTAAGGGGGGGTTTCTGTAATTTAACCTTGCAAATATTGGTAAGATTAAAGGAGTGTATGTATAAGCTAACCTGCATCTCATGGCATTGCTTTTCTATAAATGACTTCAACCTCTGAATGTAATTTCCAGCAGGTTCTCCATCTTTCTGTTCCAATTCAACTGGCACCGTGGCAACTTTGTTCTTTGTTTGACTGAAGACCTCCACAACTCTCTCCCTGATATCAGCTTCAAGTTTTTTGATGAAATTAACAAATGAGAGGTCAAAAATTGCTAGTAGGACTGGATGCTCATGCTTCTGATGATCAGTGCCATCGTTCTCGAACTCTTGCATGTCCATCACACTAGCTGAAGTAGATCTTGTGAGTGACTTTTGATGTTGGATTGAAGGGGAGGAAATGAGAGAGAGAGACATCTTATTTAGATATTCAAAATTCAAGAAATATGAGGTAAGGCCAATTTTCTGGCATATTGCATCGACGACACCAAAGGCATCTCTACCGCTCTCACTAGATCTGTTGTAGAGAACACATTCCCCAAGAACTAAAGCAGAAAAACCTCTAACACATACACTGGCATTTGGATTTGAGACGAGCTCTATTAAATAAGTAAGATGTGTTGCTGAATCTAGAATGCAGTGGACAGCATTTGGACAATCTGCAAGCCATGTGATCAGCAAACGAAGGATAATTGGCTGGATATGTAAATCTCTAAGGATGGCATTGGTGCCTCGAGCACAATTTTTAATACCTATAGTATTTCAACAAGTGTCAAAGAGGATTGAAACTGGTGAAATCTATAGTTAAAAAGCAAGCAAAAAAATATAGGAAAATGACTAACTGTTCATATGTACCAAGAGTCTAGAATGATTGTATATCACAAAGCATGTCATGTTAGTTCTTTCAATTTAAAGTGAAAAAAAAGAAGAAAATGAAAAATGATGGATGGTGGCCAACTTAGTTGTGCGGGTGTAGTAAAGATGGAAAAACATGTATCTGAGACAGTATCAACTAAGCACTTAAGAATCAGTCAGTTATTTCCTTGGCATCACTACTCTTAACACAGAAATGATAACATATAACGAGCAATATGAAAAAAAAAATAAAATAATAATAATAATAGTGAAATGTAACCGACCTCAAAAGTTTGGGGTAAAGGCTTTGTTGTATGAATAAATAAAAATAAGAAATAAGAGGTTAAGTACTGAACACATACACGTTCCTTGCATTGAGCGTTATCTTTCAGTACATGAGAAAGCACGCTGGAAGCTCTGGAACTTGCCTGCAAGAAAGATACGACAGGGTATATCATTAGTATGTAAACATAAATCGATGCTTTGAAATCACATTAGTCAAACATGCAAGATGAATGGAATAAATCTTGATTCTTAAACACGGTGTCAACTTAAAATTTTCATGGACTCTGATTTATTTTCATGGAGACTCTGATTTAATATCCCATATTACTAATATAGAAGTGAGAATTTGAAGCTTGATACAGATCTTTCAGTGTCCAATCATAGATTCTCTATGTATACTCCTAATATTATATTGCAACTGGTCTATGTATGAATAAAGCAAGGACAAAGTGAATGGATGGTAACAGAAAATCTAACTACAGAGTCCCCAGAGCCAGTTAAAACAGCTTGTTCAAACTAGATTGTTCCACCAACCTATTGGGAACATTCTGGTCTTTAATTAAAAACACTGATGCCTAACTAACATACCAAATCATATAACATCAACCAGCAGAAGTCTACATACCTCAAGACCTTCATTTGCTTCAGATGACACCAAGGCTTGTAAAAGCATACTGCCATATCAGAGAAAAACATAGTTTAAAATGATATTCAAACTTGTGTTGTGCAATGAGAAAACAACTAGCTTGAAATACTAACAAATGAAACAATAAAAATTAGCAAAAGAACCTGGATAACACAAAAAATGAGAATATTTAATTTAGCTAAAGAAGTCGTTATATAATCAGAATGTTGTTTCTCATCTAACCTTCCAAATGACAGGGTACCATCATCTTCAAGAGAAGACTGACTAGTTGAATTAGGCTGCAGAGTCATTGTCGAAGCTAACATTGCCTGTCCATCTGTATTTTTCTGTTTCAGGGATGGCAAACTGAATTATTAATAAGAATGAATCTACAACGATAAAGCAGATAAATTTCTTCCATTACGCAGATAAAGGATAATTGATATCCATAGCCACAAATAAGAAAGAATAATGATTTTCAAATAATTTCTATAGTGCCAGGAAATAGTGAAATACCAAACTTTATTGTCTAGGTTCTAGATATTGAGATTTTTCTAAAACGAATGAAGCTCCAAGTGAAGCATGGAAAAGAGACAACCTCACAGAAGCACTTGAAGACATAGTCAGCTGCTACAAATTCCTCAATGATAGAGGTGCGCAAAAGAATTCGTAGAATGGCATTTACAGCAGGTTCAGCGTGAGGCTCTTCTCCAACCAATTTACTTGCCAAGGAGTCCAGATTTTGAGGATTTCTTGCAACCAAATTACCAATGCATCGCAAAGCCTGAATTTTTGAAGTACATTCAGAATGAAAAAGGAAAGTTAAGTCATGATCGAGTGCACTGTAAATATAAAGGAGGGATTTGTATGCAGACGAGAGCAAACACAAAGAATTACCAGAAGCAGAAAAAAGAAAAATTATTACAAAGAAAGGAGAAAATCCTGAAAACTGATGTGATTTTTAACATTTCATAGTACATTGTAAAGCACACTGTTATAAGTTTAAAGCACAGCAAGAATCCAAGTTTCCAACTACTAGCACAATACCACTTAAATCTTGTGAATTAATCCATCTTAACCTAGTACTTCTACCATGAAGCTGTACCCATAACCGACATGTACCCGACATGTACCTGTACTGAAACTTCATGGACACTCCTTGGATATATGATACATTTATATAGACATGTACTCAACTATATGATATATGATTTAATTTAAAACACTTGTCATACATTCTTGGATGTATATCCTACACTTCATATCCATTTCTTGAAACTCATTATACACAGGTCGGGTTTCTTTTAACACATACCCAAGTTCAAAACTAAGACCTAAAAGGATCACTTGAGTGCCTTGTTAAGAAATGAGTGATTTCCAATTTACAATAATCAACATACTAAAAGAAACTTAAAATTGTGATAGGAATTCTAATTCTAATAACACATGAATTGAAAAACATTACTAATCTCATGTAAATTATCAATTCTATATATATATAGAGAGAGAGAGAGAGAAAAATATGGGTATGCTTGGTACCAAGCACAAAAAGTTGTGCTTGCTAGTGAGGTGTCACATCTCCCTCCACTCATTCAAATGTGGGACCATATTCACATGAGTAATTAGTGGATGAGGATGTGAGGTGTCATATTCTCATCCGCTCATTCTAATTCTCAACCACTCGCCAATCCATGTGAATGTGGGCCCCGATTTCAATGAGTGGAGGGAAATATGCCACCTCACTACCAAGCATAAAAACTTGTGCTTGGTACCAAGCATACCCATTTCTCTCATATATATATATATATATATATCGCGCCGTTTCCATACGACTCATATCTTAAATAACAATCAAAATTAAATCAATGTTTCTTATAGCTGCTGGTTCTCATAAATCACAGTTGATTAAGATAGAAGCCTTGACCAAAGGAAGGACTCTTTTGGCTAGTGACTTAAACCTAAAAGCAATTTTCTTCATATGGCAGAGGTATTAAAACAATAATCCTTGCACGACTCTTAATGAGATTTTACCACTTTCTTCTCCCTTTGGTTCCACTCAAATGGATAGTTTATGCCAAAAGAAATTCTTATAAAATCCTCTGCTGGAATGCTTTTACATTGACCAAAAATTCCTTATAAAAATGAAATTATCCTACCAAACATCGCACAGCAACTGAAGCCCACTGACTTTCAACTCCGAGCATTAGGAGATGGTCCAAAATTTTCTTCTGCAATTGTTGCAAATAAAGAAGGTGAAACTAGTTTAGAATAGAATAATCTTGGAATATTACAGTTTTTTAGTACTTTTGAATTTAGTAGGAACCTGAGCTAATGCAGCTTGATTTGACAATCTATTAGCATCTTTTCCCGGCTCACTCTCTGGACCACCCATCAGGAGCAATTCGACAGTTGCCATTGAATTGAGCAGATTTATTGTCTACTGGAAAAATGTTTCTTCTGATGAGAAAACTTGCAGAGAAGTCTGGCCAGCATGAGCTGATATATTCATAGTATTTTGCTATGACCAAGCTAATGTATTGATAATAAGAAAATATGAATTATCATACCTTTTGCTGGGTGAAATTGTAAGCACTACCCCTCCGAAGCTTTAGTATTGACACTAGGGGCTCAAATCCAATTGTTTCCCTCAGCAATACCTAAATACCAAGACCCAACTGTTACATATGTCTGCATGTGCATGATCTCACAATCATTACACTTGCATGTGCGAGTGCATGCACATAAACAGACAGAAAAAGGAGGAGATTTTTATTTTATTTTTTTTATTTTTTTTTTTGGGGGGGGGGGGGGGGGGGGTTAAAAAATAAGTAGATGTCTATGGAGCACTAACCTGGTTAGATGCACTATTACGTAAGAGATTATTCAGCAACTCAAGGCAATCCTGTTTATAAAAAGATTATCAGAAAACAGCACGACTGAAAAAAAGCTTCATAAGCTAGAATCAGTCAAAAAGAGAGTAACACAGAATAAATTGAGAAACTTAGTTGAAATGCAACATATCAGATATTTCACCAGTGAACAAAAAACATTATTTTTCTTCAGTAGAAGATAGGAGCTCAGCTGCATTCTATAAGAAGAACAAATCACACAAATCCTTGTCCATGGCAGTCAGGATTAAACTATAAAAAGTAAAAGGAATCACAATGACTTGAAATGATTCCTTAACATAAATTTTATTTAACAGTGGGTTTTAACCACAAATCGCATACATCTCCAAGAAGCCCAACGTGTCATATATTCTGATGTTTACTTAAATCCTAATATAAGTTGGAAAAATTCCAAAACGAAAATCTAGAAGTGACGTAGAGTAAAGATAAATTTAGGTGCAGTTTTAACTCCAACATCTCAGTGATAGTGTCTTAATGACCTTCGTGGATTATGGTTATAAGTAATTTACAAATCCCATCTTAAGCATGCATGTGATAAAACCTCAGTTCCATCTTACAAAACATATCGAAGCAAACAAAGACTTTTATCAAAAGAAGAGAGAAGAATGAAAAGATGATATTCTTCTAATATGGAAGCTCAATAAACCAAGTCCAGGGAACAGCTCGAAGATCTTGCATAATGAGATGAACCACATGAATGTTCTTCTGTATCTAACAAACTAAACATGGATCTGTTTACATCTGGAAGCTCCAATCAATGTCTAGATGTCTAAATGGCATTAGAATAAATTAGACCTACAGACTTTGTAACTTACTAAAAAATTATAAAATAGGGGCCAAGTTCTGATCAAAAGTTGCAAGTGACTTAAGAGTAGCCATAGAAACTTCGGTCGTGACGAGAGTCAAACAAATATTAACAAAGTTCATCAGGATTCAACGACATCTAAATTGCGACTAACTCAAAGAAGGATGGACCCAGCCCCATAGGGAAGTGATTATTGTTTTGGGTTAGTCAGAATAAGATATTTAGACTAATATAAAGAATGAATTTTTCCTAGTCCCATAGGTACAGAATGAAATACTTTTTAATGTTAGTATTCACTGGTCTTATTAAGAAAGCAAAGCATAAATAGATGTGTGATGCCAACCCATAGGAAGGTTCTAATTTTTTTTTAATTTTTCATTGGTTGTTAGGACTCAAGTTTTAGGAATAAGTATAAATTGCTTGATATTGCAGCTATCCCATTGCTTTTGTTGTTCCAGTACTTTGTGGTGATAATTTTAAAGATTGAAAGACAAGATCGTTTTATTCATTAGGGTGCATGGATCTGGACTTGGCGCTTCGTGTAGATCAACCACCTTATCATCAAAGGAAAAGCACACCACATGAGAAACAAATGTATGAACGATGAGAAAGATCAAACTAATTCAGTTTGATGCACATTAATTCTCATGTCAGTAAGAGCAATTGATGCTTTATCCCAGATTGCCCAAACGCCAAGAACTACATGAAAACCATTGAGGAGCAATATATAAGTTTGGATAAAGCTTTGGACAGCACCCTAATGAATTGGCTTTCAAGCAAGACATTCAATTGTTCTAAGGATGTGTGTGAGCACTAATATTACCTGAGTACTCCTATCATGAAGTTTTACCTGCACCCAACACTTCCCATACATGTACCCGACATTTCCTGGACACTCCTTAAATATATGTATACGTTTATTCAGATGTGTACTCAATTATACAATGCATGTTTTGATTTAAACACTTGTTATACAGTCTTTGGACATATAATTTATATTTCGCATCCATTTTAAAAACTTGTTGGACAAAGGTCGAATTTATGTCAGCCTATATTTCGTTGGAACTATGATTCTAAAGAACCGTATGCATATCTAGCTCAGAACTATAATTACATTACATATTTTTTAGTCATGACCTTATATCCTACCTTTTACAAATTTGGACACGTTTGTCATGTCCAGTACCCATACCCGTATCCATGCAACTTAGGTGAGTGGGGTATGGAAATGAGGGACACTGCTTCTCAACTCAAGTCCCTAGAAATTAAAATTGTTGAGTCATTCCTAATGCATTTTGCTCATTAGAATTATGGACCTTTAAATTTTTCTTACAACACACATAAACACACATAAGGAAAAATCGTCAATGAATGAACTATTGATCATGTGCGTTCAGAGGGAAGAGAGACAAAACATGAGAAAGTCTGAAAGTGCTTATTTAGCTATTCATAATAAAGGAAACACTGATGAGAACAATAATGTTGAACAAGGAAGGCACAAATAAAATGTGTCGATAAACAAATGTATCTGTCTTGTTAATCTTGCTGAATAGCCTAAATCTGATGGAGCACTCTGGTTGTATTTATAAGCTAGGTTAGGAATCCTTCTGTTATCACTAAAAGAATCTTAAAAGATAAGTTTTCATCCATCACGGTAACTAACTTGATAATGATCATATCTTAACCCAATACTAATCCTTAATGAATAACTCAACTGTTAGTAATAAAATATCATCATAACAAACTAAAATAATTGTTTGTCATGTGGGCCATAATGGAATCAGATTATCAACAATTATCTTAGTTTGTTATTGTGATATTCGATAACTAACAATTGAGCTCTAATCCAATATATTGTTTATAGTGTGGGCCATAATAGGATCAATTTACCAACAATCATCTTAGTTTGTTATGGTAACATTTGTTAACTAATAACTAAATTCTTATCCAATAAGGATTAGTAGTAGGTTGAGATATGGTCATTATCAAGTTAATTTACTTGGTGGATAGAAACTTGTCTTTTAAGATTGTTTTAGTTATAACGAAAGAACCCCTAGGCTAGCTTATAAATATAGCCAAAGTCATTCATTCAGATTTAGACTATTTGATAAAGAATAGGGTAGAAGTTATTTCTATATTTTGCAATAAATTTATTTGTCTAGCAGTGATCTAATTTGTTGTTTGTTCCTGTGTACGCTTAGATTGTTTTTAGTATTTGATCTCATTATCCGAGTTAATACCACTGGAGATACTTATATTTGATTTAATTCCACTGCAAGGTCTGTAATTAGTTAAGACATATAATTGTTTACACGTGGTATCAAAGCTAATTTTGAAAATGAAATCAAATTTCTAGGGAATTCTAGAACATAAAAAAACACTCTAAATCTAAAGTGAATCTTGTATACCAAATCTACCTAAAGGTTCCCCAATTTCAACATGTGAATGCATCCCGTTTCCTAAATAGATGCACCGCTCATTCCCCTTCGCCTTCCTTAAGTTGAGAAAGTCATGTATGGTATTGCAATATGGATTGCATAATCGGAATCAATCCACCATGAATTATTTGAAACTTAAAAAAAGAAAGATTCATGACACTCTAAAGAGATGAAATCACTTTTCTTTATGAGACATTTCTCATACTTAAGACAATCTTTCTTCATATGCCTAACCTTCTTATAAAAAAAGCATTTATCCTTATCGCTATGATTTATCATTGGTACTTAAGACAACATATTCCTTATTGAGAATTATTGTTCTTCCTAATATTTTCTTTATTATAAGTAGTCAAGTGAGCACATTCATGTTTCTCAGTTTTAATCTCTCTTGCTTGTGCACATACATGGTCGGTAATTCATTCACTAATCATTTTTTGATTATGTGTTGTAAGAAAGGTCCATAGTCAGAGAAAGAGAGTTCAAAGTGAAATGCACTAGAGATGACTCAGAAATTTTAATATCTAAGGACTTTAGTCACTTCAATTGAGCCGCAGTGTCCCATATTTTCATAATATGCTCATACTCCCTTAGATTTAGTTGAATGTCTTGTTTAAAAGTCTTTTTCATTTGGATGATGACAAAAGCTTTATCCCAATTGCTCCACAATAGCTTTCAAACAATCCTTGGCCTTAGGGAAATCTGGGTGGAATAAAGCCTTGAATGCTCTTACTGACATGAGACTTAATTTGCAATTTTGCATCAAGCTCAATCCGTTTTATCTTTATTTTAAAATATAGCCGGTTTGATCTTTGTTTAAAAATATAGCCGATACAACTCAGGGATGGCTACAGTTTGGTGACATAAGACATCTACTCTACATCAGATGATGTAATAGTTGAAATAGAGTATTGCAGACCAGATTGTAATCATCGTATAATATATGTTCTATATCAACCATTAAGCTTGACCCACAATGTAATAGCATAAACCTGGCATGATGCCAAGTTATCAACTCAGCTATGAATTGTAAGACCTAGTTCAAACAGATTTCTGGTGATTCTAATTCAGCTGAGAAGCACTCCTTCAGCTAGAAAATTGACTAGCATATGATAAGTACTCAAGAGCCTTCACTCCCTACTCTCATTACATCATTGAGCTTCCAACTGCAAATCATTCAAATCTCCTTGAGAAATTAAGGGTTTATATTTTGTGATATCTGTGAACACTTCTCTCATTTTTCTTTTTTATACCTTTTTTCTTTTTGATTTGTAACAGTGCTGGAAGAGTCTAGGACTGCTGGAGTTGTTAAAGCTGAATAAAAAGCAAAGGTTCTTGTGAAAGACTAACTGTTGGAGCTGTTGCCTCTAAATCATAAAGCATTGGCTGAACAAGACCATTTGCAATACTGCATACAAACTCGGAGCATAAAACTGTCATGTGATAGTCAACATAGGTCAAAATGACAAACCATGATAGTTGTCTCCTCGAATTTGCCTTTTATAGCTCTCTCTAAGTCAGTATCTGTTATTTGTATCACTGTGATTATATTATGTATTTTAATTTGCAAATAATTTGCATTACATTGCATCCAACTCTTTATTGCCTTCCCTCAAAAGCACCAGCCCCCCTCCTTCTATAGTGTGTTTTCACCAATCAGCACGGCATAGATTGCATAACCAACAATTCAAACTTTCCTGCAAAGTAAGTTTCCATACAGTGGCAGTAAAAAGAATAAACACGTGGAAGTGAATAACCATACCTGTACAAATTGTTATTAAGTAGAGATCTAATATCAATAGACTAGTGTAACCACAAACAATGATGTATTACTGCACTAAAATGGAGCCTTCGTATTTGTCATATAAAGTCTAATTAAAATATCAAGTACCCTAAGAACCATACAAGCTGTCCTAGATACAATAAAAAGGTGGGTTTCAATTTTAAAAACTGGAACCACAGGTCATTTTGCCAGTGAAATGACTAGATGACCTCACTGATCTGAGTGTGAAAGAATCACCTGAACAACAACACCTCCATCAGAACCTCCTTCTTCTTTAATAATGCTAAATATCTTCTCAAAGGCTCCCTCAAAAACCACAATCTTTTGAATTTCCTGAATTACAAAACACAAGTTTAGGAGTGAGGAACATGAACTAACCAGACTTATATTCAATATTTGAAGTGGGAACTTGACCTCTGCCTCACGAGTCAAGTAAGTGAGCAGCAACAAGGCTTCATTTCTTATGACCTATCATATTGGTTGGAAGAAAAACAAGAAACGTTGCTTGCAAATAATTCAAGCAAGAAGTAAGAAAACATCCCAGTTTGAATTTCATAACCTAGCAGCAAGAAGGACTAGCTAAACAAGAAAGAAGTAGACAAATGCAAACCTCGCGATCCATAAGCATATCCATAAGGCGGGTTATACCACGAGGAATAGAAAGAATCGCTTCCTGTAACCTAAGATATAAGCACAGGACATGAAAACAATAATGATTAACATTTGTTGGAGACACAAATAAGCACCAGTTGAGAAAAGAGAAAACAAATTGCAGGTTGTATATGAACAATTACCTGCTAGGGGAATGTGTGAGAAGAGCTGTAAGAAGCTGAAGTGTATAGTATCTAACATAGAAATCATCCTCAGACTGGCAGAACATCAATGATAAATCAGATACTAAGACTTCTTCCTAAAACTAGACAGCAGTCATAGAAATCCATAAAAGATAAGGAGGCTGATTGGGATAAACTTACAAGCAAACTCAGAAGAAGAGAGATGCTCTCTGATTCTCGAGAAAGTAGATCAGAGTTTATTGAAGCTGGTTGAATTTCATTTTTCTGTCCATGACCTGTGTCGATAGGAGTCAATGCACTCACAAGAGTTTCAAGGGCACCTCTAATTATTTCGACATCATCACGCTCCTCCTTTAAGACAGACAGGAGTACTGGAAATCCTGTTTCAAGATGAAGAAGCACCTATCATGTCTTCTTTGACCTGGAATGAAATGGTACATTCTTTTTAAGGGAAAGGGAAGAAGCACTACCCATAGCCCCTACTGCCAGCTGAGCTGAACGACTTTCCGCTACAAGTGACTGCAGTTCAGACACTGCTGCACGTCTATCCTCAGCTAGAACACCATTGCTTATACGGTCAAGCAACCGCTCGACATGGCTGTTGAAATAAGGGGAAACCAGAAGTTAGACAGAAAATATGACATGATAAAACAATTCGTGGAGACAATTTACGGATGAATAGGAAGAAATTGATAGACAGCACATGCAAATACTTCAGAAATACAAGCATGCAACAGCCTAACACATTTTACATGAAAACATCTGAGGGTTATGTATAGGATACACATCGTTAGAAAGGTTTTCTTCTAGGCTCTGGGCAACTACCACTAATCGAAGTTCAGAATTGCTAGTTATGTATGGAATTTAGATATAATGGACAGTCAAAGATTTCTTTTTGGAAGGATAATTACCTGAAGACCTAACCCAATGGAAGTATATTTTCTACATAGAAATATTTTCTTCTGCTAGTTCTGCAGCTGAGCGTTCTTGGAGGTCGAGTGAGGGGAAAAAATATATATTGTAATGATATTTATTAAATATTCTGAAATCTTCATTCACAAGTTCTGTTTCTCTTAACCTCTGGAGAATTCACACTTTTTTTCTTTTTGTATGCTTCTCTTATACTATTGCCACAGCTAAGAATTTTTGATAAAGGTATAGTGACTAAAATTGTTCTAATGTACTTTATTAATATAGTGACTAAAATTGTTCTAATGTACTTTATTAATATAGTGACTAATATTGTTCTAATGTACTTTCTCTTAACCTCTGGAGAATTCACACTTTTTTTCTTTTTGTATGCTTCTCTTATACTATTGCCACAGCTAAGAATTTTTGATAAAGGTATAGTGACTAAAATTGTTCTAATGTACTTTATTAATATTCTAAATTCTTTGTTCACAAGTTCTTTTCCATTTCATTGTTGATTCCTTGGGGGACTATGCATTTAACTTCTTATTGTCATATTGCGTGAGTTACCCATAGATATTTCAACAGACACAAGCTGCATAAGAGATACTTTCTCTATTTTATTCATTTATAACACCCTTCTCATTTGTTAATTACTTGCATTTGTCTCAACGAAAACTGGACAAAAGAATAAATTGCTCAGTTGTAAATCCTTAATTAGTGGTCGCAAAAAAAGGAAACCAGTATATATGAGACCTCCCTGCGATTTACATAAGCTGCAATTTACGTTATTTTGTGTTTCCGTCAGCACTTTGAGCGGAATAAATTTGCATTCAAAACAGAAGATACATAAGTTCAAGAACACGGAATGCAGGAGACATATAGACATTGCAATGATCAAAAATGAGATTCAAGGCACATGGTCCAGCATGCAGTGTTTTCATTTTTTTTTTTGGGTTTTTTTTTTGGTGGGGGTTGGGGGGTATCAGAACTAGAGATAGCACATGGAATGATTAAGAAAAAATGACATTCACAAATTCTGTAAGAAAGATATCGCACGTCTTACTAGGGTTATGGGAAATTTTACCTATCTTCATTTGAAGTATTGTCGTTTCCAAAAACCAAGCCACCAACTCCCTGCACAAGACTTTGATGCTTCAGATAGGAAATTTAATATAGATTACATTAAGGTGAATGGGGTGCTGAAAGCCTGAGATATATGCCATAACAAGTTATCTAAAACAACTTAAAGTAAAAGACAGTAAAAGTATTAAAAATTTAAAAGTGTAAAACAGGTTAGCTAGATGTCCAGCCACCTGATTATTAGAAGACTTCAGTTGGAATGCATTGAAATTTCCGAGACAGGTAACAAAGCAAATTGGAATTTAGGAATTCTAGTGTTAATAAAGAGGGTTTAAGCATCAAAGAAATTGGCACGGGTTAAGTCCTCAGGCCAAATTAGTTTGTAATTACTTACAAATCTTAACTAGATTTGGTTAGTTAATTCAGTGTAGTCTGTAGTGATGGCTGGAACATAAGAAGTGCAAAACCGGAGAATCGTGATTTTAAAATAGATCTGATCCTGCATGTATGAGTAATGGAGAGCAATTGAAATTTAAAACAACACAGAAATGGAGGATGCTTTTATGTATTATTGATGAACCATCCACTGATCAAAACTTCTCACTCCCCCTCTCCTTGTTGAAACAAAAGAGCCCGTAAGAAGATAGAGGGGAAATAGTGCAGTAAATGGTCAAGTAAAAGAAGATGATGAAAACAGAGAATCCAGAAAATACTTGTACTGATATTCATATTTGATTTTTCAGAGTTTCAGATGAAGTGTTGGACGGATGAGAAACTAATATTTGCTACGCACTAGTACTACACACGCTGCTTCACATTTTGTAAGTAAATATAATTTAATAGTAGTACATTTAAGTCAATATTCATGCATACAAAATGGATCAACAATAAACTTTCAGTGCTTTTTTTCAATGAAAATTTCCAAGTGATTTGTACATTTGTTTTGGTGTGTGAAAATAAAACTATGCATGATTTATGTAAACTAAAAGCCTTATGGACAAGGACACAGGTTTGTTGTCATTTTTGCTATGGATTGGAGGAGCAGAGTGCCGCACGGAGAAAAATATCACCTACACAGATATCAAAGAGCAGTCCAAAAAATGAGGTTACATATGAGCTATTTTACAGACTTGGGTGTGGATGCAATATTAGGATACGGCTATCTGTCTATATATAGATATATGTATGTCAGTGTTTGTGACACGTGCGTGTGTGTATATATACTGAGACTGATAATCTATGTGACATCAATATATTTTTTTTCATTCAGATGTTATGAGAATTAAAATCCCAATAGATCTTAACTGGATACAATATGAAACTAAACTGACCCCAGACCCGTGTCAAACAAGTTTCACGAGGTGGATCTGAAGTGTAAAATATACATCAAAGAAGTGCATGACGAATGTTTTGAATTAAAACATGTATTATATAACTGACTACATGTCCTAATAAATGTATGCATATATCCAAGGAAATGCCAAGTAGGTATTTGTGTCAACAGTCCATTACAGATACAGTACGCATCAGTTATAGGTACAGCTTCTGGCAAAGTACCCACGCAACATAAACTGTAAATAAATCAATCCATAATAGATAACACATATACTCTGAGGACTCCTTTCTAAGTATTGTGACAGTGTAACATGATATATCAACACATACACACCCCCACATGCTCACGCACATGTGTGCGTGTTGTAGCGTATTTTGAATGTTATACTATGAGAACCAAAAAAACTTAAGACAATTTGGATTAAATTAAATGATATTTAGCATTTAATATTTGAGCCAAGATGTATGAGAACATCACAAATTTGAATTATATGGCACTTAGACATTTCACATTTTGTGCCCAGTAGCATGAAACATCCTGCTATAACTCATCAGATCAAAGACAATTCATAAGGCTAACAATCATAATTGTTAAAGTTTAGTCAGGAACTATGTTTGACTCACAAAGGCATATTTAAGTTATTCGGGACTTTTGGAAGTTTTCTGTAGTAAGGGCTTCATGAAATGGGATGTAAATTATTCAGTCGGAGTTTACTCATTTATAATCTGAAACTTCTAATTAGTGACAATATCAGATCTTATTATATGCATTCTTGAAGTGCATAGGATGCTTGTGGAATTTGTCTGGTAAACTGTCACCGCTTTCATGTCAAACCCATGCTGCAAGTAAGACCGGTGACATCGACAATCAAGTAGTATTCATGAAGTGCGATAAAAAACTACTTTGGCCTGTCTGGACTATCTACATAGGGTTTGGCAAACTGCAATATATTTCTTATATCCCCTTCAAGTAGAAGTTTATGAAAGTTAGGTAGAGATCAATGCTTTTATGGCAGAAACTAGATCTTTTTCCTCTCATCTCATTCTCTTCCTAAAACGACACCTACCTAAAAGATTCCAATAACCATCGAGACCGTCAAAAGCTTCAGCAAATTGTAGCTTACTTTCCAAATAGATGTAAAATGTAAACTGCAGTTTACTTCCATGAATTATGGACCAATTAGAGTTGTAATTACCTTGTCCATTTCCCTATTCTTCACTGCTAACTTCAAGTTGAGGCCTGGTTTCAGCCAATTACATTACATTGACCTTCAATAGTAATCTAAATAACTAACAAACTGAAAGCAGAAAAAATTCTTCCGTTTGTTGTCTCAACTGTAACAGAACAAAAACACAATCAAAACAAGACATTACAGACAAAAGCTAGATAGACATCCTCATAGCATATATCACTAAAGTTCTAAATATTGACCAAAGAAATCTAATAAAATCAAACTACATTATGCGCAGATTCACCTGGGCTACCGCATTGAGATTGATACGCCCGAGCCTGAAATCCATCAAATTTTATCAGCGAAAAATCTTAGATACCCTTGCTTTATTATCTGCAGAAAAGAAAGATCACAGCTCTCATTAACAATATTTTGAGATAACCTGAGAAGCCAAATCATAACTCAACCAATCTTGGAAGAAACGCACTGACGGAAACAGTATGAGGTAGATACTGATCTGTATTGTTGAGTCTGACACATCTATATGATATTGTATTTTATTCGTCATACATCTAATTTTGAAAGTACCAATCCATACCAGTTTAGGTTATGGCATTGCAGATTTAAGCCTAAACACAAAACTTGTAGTCACTTTCTAAACTTAAATAGGTTTTCACATGGATTTGGCTAGTGTACTAAGTATCATCTAATAGTTAAGTGACTTCAATCGCTCTTTGGGTCTAGAAGTAAAACGCATTTTACTTGAACAAACAAGATGCATTTATGCACCCTCTCCAACGTTTCAGTTTGCACGTTTATCAATCCACTGAAAACTAAGAAAAATTTTCACATATGGGGTATTTATCAATGGGTGGTACAACTAAAGCTTATAAGTAAAAAGATTTTGACTTGGCCAAGGAATTTTACTCAAAAATATAGCAAACCAAGGGCTAACTATAAATAACACAGAACAAATTAGATGGAACAATACCAATCTCTCAACTTGATAATGTATTCAATGGAAACCCTAATTTGATCTCAAAAATGAACATGAACCCTAATTCAAGATCAATCATTGTGATTTCATCTCACCTGGCTCAGTTCACAAGGGCATTGACCACAGCGTGAGTTTAGACCTCGTGATTTGAAGGAGATTTGAGATGGAGACGACAAAGGATCGCAAAAGGGGAATTAGATCAAGGAAAGAAAGAGAAGATGAAGAGACGGGCGTGGCTTTTAATAGCTTCGAGTGGAGATGTAAACGGGTTGACCTCCGATAGGGTAGTATATATCATCTGAATCCCATAAGGAAATGAATCTGAGTTACTGCAATTAGGGGTGCATTCAGTTCGGATACGATTTGAATATGACACTTATCATATCCATATCCGCTTTTTGAAAGCGGATACGGATACGGTTCGGATATTCATTGGTAAGAAAAAGGCATTATCATATCCGTACTATACGGAAACGGTTACGGTTCGGATATTAGAGAGTCGGATACGGATATTAATCGGATATTTGGGAAACGGATATGAATAGGGTATGACAAATATATATCGGAATTAGGAACTACAAGCTACTAAAATTAGTGCTCAAAAATTTCAACTGATACCTATGTGCCAATTCCACCTGTATTCCCAATACTCACAAACACACAAATAAATAGAGAATGCACATTGATGTGTAACTGTAAGTTTGTAATGTCAATTTTTGAAAATTATATACCACGAGAGAGTGCATATCTGAATCTGTGTAGCAATATTCTGGATTTTTTTTGCTTGCAAGTATATTAATTTTTAGTTATTTGCGAGTTATTAAAATTATATATATATATATATATATATATATATATAATTTTAATAACTCGCAAATAACTAAAAATTAATATACTTGCAAGCAAAATAAATCCAGAACATTGCTACACAGATTCAGATATGCACTCTCTCGTGGTATATAATTTTCAAAAATTGTCATTACAAACTTACAGTTACACATCAATGTGCATTCTCTATTTATTTGTGTGTTTGTGAGTATTGGGAATACAGGTGGAATTGGCACATAGGTATCAGTTGAAATTTTTGAGCACTAATTTTAGTAGCTTGTAGTTCCTAATTCCGAAGCAAGTTTTAGCTTTTAACTTACTACTTTAACTCAAGGTGCATGTGCTCTAGAACTTCACAAAATTTTAAGCTAAATCATTTGTCAAACAAACTAGGTCTTTTCAGTTTTCAGTCAATAAAGGATAGCAAATTAGGGTTTCCACTCAACGAAGGGCTAGCAAATTAGGATTTTTTATCATACAGATCAGGGCTTTTCATTCAACCAATTAGAGTTTCGAATTCACCTTAGTGTTAGAAGAAACCGAGGCGGAGAATTTTCGGAGGTCGCTGTTGATGGTCGGTCGAGCTTGAAGGCGGAGGCTTGAAGTCGGTTGAAAGCGGAGCCTTGGAGACGGTTGAAGTCGAAGGCGGAGGCTTGGAGACGGCGGAGCTTGAAGGCGGAGGGCGGAGGTCGAAGGCGGAGGCTTGAATGGAGACGGCTGAGGTCGACGGCGGAGGCTTTGAGATCGTCAATTTTAGGGCAGAAGAACAGCGAAGGATTTTGATCGATTGGGAAAATTTTCATTTAATTTAAATCGGGTCGGGTAGGGAACAAGATGAGTTGTATCCAAGTATAAAAATTACCGAGTTATACACATCCGGATGTCTGGACCGTATCCGTAAAATCGATCCAAAAATTGTATCCGAATGAAAACCCAAAACTAAAAACAAACCGAAATCTTATCTTAACGGTTGCAATCTTTTCCTATCATATTCGCTTTCTAAACGGATACAGTTGCAGTCGGTCCGGATAAATGCGGATTGTTTTGCACCCCTGACTCTATGAATCGACTAATGTAGCAATCAACATAATCTGTAACACCTAAGAAGAATGAAGAAGAGATCAGAAATGAAAAGGAACTAATGTATCTGAGAATTGAAAAGAGAGTGATGGTGACGAGACTGACAAGGAAGAACACGCGAAGAAGATTGGAGACAAGATTGCGGAGAACGACGAGATCAGTAGCGAACTCATCAATCGGATCAACAGTGAGATCAGAGCTCAACGACGAGATCAGAGATGAGATCCAAGATGAAAACGATGAAGAGATTGGTGACAATAACAACGACGAGGTCGGTGATGAGATCGACAAGTAGATGATGATTTTGGCTATGGTGATTTTATGGAGCCGAAATAGGTTTTTGTTTTTTGGGATTTCTGTGAGAGAGTTGATGATTTAAGCGTTCAGTATAAAGTTCAAACCTGCCTATAAAATTGACCGAAGCAAAATTTGTTTGGCCTATTGAATTAATTTTTATAAACCGTTGTCTTAAGCTTTTGGTCATGGTTAAAAACGTTGCAAAATCTCCCTAATAGACACCCAGCGCTAGATCTATCATATCAGATCAAATATGTGGTAGTGTAAGAATTATGATAAATTTTATTAGTTTGAAGTTTGATGGCTACATGTAATCAACTAATGGGCTGTTTGGTTGGATAGATTTTAAGAAAATCCTATGGCATTTGGTCTGAAATGCAGACCCCACTCTCTGTCACGCCACATGATTTAAGTAGCATGTGATTAGGCTGATAACATACCCTCTTAATGAGAGGTTTTCTAAAGCAATATGTTAAATCCTAAATATTATTTATGCAGAAATTGATATTTTTTATTAAAACATGTCAATTTAAATGAATTTATCTATAGAAAATAAACACAATAAATTAAACTCATTTACCTTTTGTAGAAAGGATGATCTGACCAAGTGCCAGAACAACAATCATAATGCATACCGTCATAGTATCAAAGCTCTAAGAACCCTGGTTCATCTTCGATCCAAATACTTGTAGGTGTCTAAAAATGTCTATATGTTCCCGTATACAGCTCGAGACGAAGGGGAGACGATAAACGTCATCATCCAAGTCGAGAAGATTCATCCGAATGGCCTGTGTACTCACCGGCCACCGCCAAGTGGCTCATACGCTCACCGGCCACCGGAACGGCGA